ATTATCAAAGTTTACAGTACCTTTCCATTTATACAAAATTGTATTGTCGATATGAACAAAAATTTTCTATATTTTTCATCAGTTTTCTATTATGTTGTTTTCGTCGGAATAGAAGGGACGGATCAGGGGTATCTATATTTGAAGTTAAATCAATATTAAGGGGTGATGGTCGCTGAGTAGTATGTAGTAGCGTACCAGGGGGGGGGGGGGGGGTTAACATTTTTAAATCGGGCCGAAAATTTCGCAACGACTCAGCCAGCCGCTGAATAAGCGGGGGGGGGGGGGGGGGGAGGGGGGGGGGGGGATTAAGATACATATACCGGTATACTTAGATTTGGTCTATTCCTCCGGTATATATATAATTTTTTTTTTTGGTCCCCCAAAAATCGCAAAAAAGCCATTGAATAAGCGGGAGGGGGTGGGGGGGGGGGGTAAGAGCATATATATATATATATATATATTTTTGGGGGGTCTCGGAATTTGAAAATTTGACCGATCGACATTTTGTTCCGTCGGGTGGGGGGGGGGGGGGGTGGTACGGTTACCTTTTTTAGGTCATCCGTTAGCATAATTTTGTATTACAAAAAAAACAAAAAAACAACACAAAAGGGGGGGGGGGGGTTAACCCCCAAACACTGCCCCCCCCCCTCTGCGTACGCGTCTGGTAGTATGCACAAAGAAAATGAATAATTACTTGCCGACTTTATGTGTGTAGAGGGCTAACCCGGGCATGAATCCTCTAATGTGATCAAGTGTTCCAAATATTGCACAATTTCCTTCCAAGGTTTATTCCACAAAATCACAACAGATAATAAGACAAAACTACTGAGTGCAGGGGCGGATCCAGTCGGCGGAAGGGGAGGGGGCCAGAGAGGGGGCCCAATTCGTGAGAAAATATTTAGCAGCGAAATAGCCAGCCGGTAAATAAGCGAGGGGGGGGGGGGGGGGGGGTAAGGAGCACTATTTTTTTTTGGGGGGGGGGCCCTCGGAAATTTGAAATATTGCACCCCCCCCCCCCTCCTTTGAGCGCCAGGGGGGAGAGCCCATCTCCAAAAAAGGGTAAAATTAACCTGTTTTTAACTGTATTTTTTTCTCACGGGAGGTGGTCCGGGCCCCCTTCCTGGATCTGCCACTGGCTTTCCATATTGTAATCATTTTCTACCACGATGTGTTTGTTGGCATCCACACTCTTTAGTGGATTATTGTCAGATGATACAGCACAGATATGCAACTAGGAGAAAAGAAAGTGGCTTACTTTATCAACCAAAATGTAAGACAACGCGGGGGCAATTTTGTATTTCGTATGTAGGAACAAAGCTGTGGAATGATCTGCCAGATGAAATTAGATTTAAAGCATCAAGGTTATCTTTTCGGAGACATCTTTCCACCTACCTTCAATGTAAATGACGTGGGCTCAATCCCATCCCCTTCCTAATTTCTTTTTATATTACTTGTCTTCCTTTTATATATGTATACACTTCCTTGTTAACGATTATAGCGGCCTTAAGCTTTTACAGGATTTGTGCATGTACGTACATGTGTATGATTATTTTTATTAGTACATCCTTTTCATTTTTATGAACACATTGATGATTTTATTTTTTCAAAGATTTGTCTTCTTTCAATATAATGCTTTAACGCTTAAGCTTTTTTATTGTTATTTTTTCATTTTAGTAAAGAAAAAAAGTTACATGATATTGTATTATTTTGTTGTATATATGTAAATACAAAACAAACAAGTTTTACATTCATATGTAAAAACAAATTAACAGAAAAAATCTTGCCAAAGAATGGAACTAGGCTCGACTAGCACTTGTGCTAACTTCTAGTTCCCATTAACAACTTCACCTAAACACAGTAATATACATATTTACGTATATATCTTTTGTACATTTAATAGTATGCAGATGTATGTCTAAAAAATATCGTTTTCAAACCATTACTGTTCAATCGACATTACTCTTATGTTATGTATACATGTATCAGTATTATTTTTTGCATTGTATGATTTTTCATATGTACTGTCATTATTGTGATATGTTGTTGTTAATAAATTCAAATTCAAAAATGTCAAAAATAGATTTGACTTATCTACAATGATATACTGTAGGTCAGCATTGAAGAAACAAATGTCTACAACCATACCATGCTGAACATACCGGTTCTCGTCCGATCTCCGAAGTCAAGCAGCATAGGGCCCGGTCAGTACTAAGATGGGAGACCCCTTGGAAATGGCGAACGACCCCTGGGAGGTCCTCTGCTCGGGTCGATCACTAGTGATCGCGGTACGTCGAAAAGCGCCTCCAAGGACCTTTTCGTGGTGAACGTCCTCTTCGATTACCGCGGCGAAGCCTGCCAATTGCGGCCAAAAATTGCTTGCACTATGGTTACTTGACCAACTGAGACAAAAACCAGGTTCTTCTCTTGCTTTAAAGAAACAATTCACCCATTTACACAATTTTAATAATTAATTAATAAATTTGCTCTTTTTTACATCCTTTTTCTGATACTTTTCAAATCAAAATTAGCCAACCTTACTTAAGTTCTAATGTCATTTTGGTGTTGTTCATGCTTTCCTTTATTATTTTGTTAATATATATTTTGTAAATGAAAACTATTTCCCCTTTTTTTCTCAATCTATATCTGTCTTTTTACATTTCTCTCTATCTTTCCTTTTCTTTCTTTCTCTTTAACTTTCTTTTTCTTCCTTTCTCTCTCTCTCTCTCTCTCTCTTGTTCTTTTTCTTTCTCTCTCTCTCTCTCTCTTTCTTTTTCTTTCTCTCTCTTTTTTTTCTTTCTTTCTCTCTCTTTGTAACGCTTCAGCTATCTGTTTATACATACTCTTTCCTCTCCTTTTTTTTCTTCTCTCCATCTTTCTTTCATTCTGTCTATCTCCTTTTCTTTTCCTCTCTCGTTCTTTTTCTTTCTTTCTCTCTCTCTCTTTCTAAATGTTCAGCTATCTGTTTATAATACTCTTGCCTCTGCTTTTTCTTTCTTCTCTCCAACTTTCTCTCTATCTCTTTTTCTTTCTTTCTCTCTTTCTATATTTCAATTCTCTCCATCTCTCTTTCATTCTATCTCTCTTTCTCCATTTCAATTTACTCTCTCTATCAATTGCATACATTGGAAACAAATATAATATACAAAATACAAGGTAAATATTAGGTTGTGTGTTCTTTATATTGGACACATCAATCATGGCAAGTTATTGATCTGATCAGATACACACAAGTGCTTAATAGTTTACAGACATTTTAAAGTGATGCTTCAAAACATTATGTTTCATGAAAACAGAGTCACATAATTGAGCTAAAAAGATAATTATACCAATGTATTTCATTATACTTTACCTCCTAACAAGAGCCATGACAAGAATACAGTATCATATCAAGGCACTTTATTATAAATCAGTGCATAAAAAGAACTATAGCAAGAATACAGTCATATCATGGCATTATATATCAAGTCACTAATACAAAGAGCCATTGCAAGAATAAAGAGTTGCATCAATACTGTACTGATGCTTACGCTGTATCACTCCTATATCATATTAAAAATGAGTAACATTATCCTATGTATTGTCTTATTCTATACAGAATGAGTATCATGTATTGTACTTGAAATGTAAATTATATCACACTGATGGACATCATGTTTGTTTAAAATATGATATAGAAATCACTGAATAAAGCAATACTCCATCAACAAACGAATGATTTGACAAATTGATTAAAAAACAGTCAATACTACATCCCTAAAAAGTGACATTTTTATATTTAGAATCATGTCTTTAAAAATGAAGTTCAAGCAATATAGACCTGAAATACAAGGTGGCATAATGATATTAGTAATCATGTCAATCAAAGTTCAAGGACTACATCCCTGAAATACAAGGTATTATAATCATGTCATAATTCAGCATGATCTAGTAACGTCATTGGGACCTTCTGCCTGAAAACCAACATGTAAAAAACTCATTTTTCAAATGCACCCCTCCTTCTCTCCAACTCTTCATCAACATTCCTTTTAAAAGCCTCGTAACTTTCATACTCATTGTCAAAGCCCAGAGTTGTTGACCTTTTTGATTTTCCGCAGATGGTGAATATTTTTTGCTTGCTCCCAAGTGTATTTGGCTTTGATGGACCGTTTTCTCAGTCCTCCACATTTTGGCACTTTGCAAGCCGCACATGGTTTATGGGATGGATCTCTAAGGGGATACCACTTGTGGAAGGTAATGAAATCGAACGTGCTGTGGGTTGTGAGGGTAAAACAACAAGAATTGGTATACCTGCTACCTTGGGGGTAATAATGGGTAACTTAGGTTTTGGTTCGTCACCAGCAGGAGATGTAGGCACTGTAGATGTGCAAGGTGCTGTGACATGCCTTGTAGATGAAGAAGTCCCTGGTTCATCGATGAGTGAGTGCCTCTTCTCACCCTGACGCTTGCCAGACTCATGAGGTACGACACTGTACTTAACCTGTGCATACCCTGGGTTCGGCTACATCTCTGGAAGCTCGACAGGTGCCGGAAGGGGATCAAAAGAAAGGACTTTGCTATGTGGGAGGAGTTTGGGTTGAGTGGTTGCAAGGAAATTGATCGCTTCTCTTGCTTGCCGATGAAATTCGTAATTGATTTGGAGTTGATGTTTGGAAGGGGGAGATTTAGTGTGGCGAGGACTGGGTCATCACAAATATGCCTGTCACAGATCCTCTTGTACCTTGTCCTGATGTTAGTGGCGGTCTTGGTTGGAGACAAGCCCTAAATAGACGGCAGATTCTTAAGCAGCTGGATGACCAGGTACCCTTGACTCCTCCGTGATTTGGGCTGCCTGCCCATACACCCAAATTTGGTCTTTTGGGCGGCGCTTGAGTGTGATGATTCTGGCCTGAGGCAACATCCAAACAAAGTGTAGCCCCACTTGCTCTCGTACTTTTTAACAAAGTTGCAAACAGATCGATCATGCGTTGCTAGCTCACTTTTAGCTTTGTAAATTTGCTCTCTTATCTCTGCTGGGATAAGATGCTGCTCCCTTCTGTCAGCTTAACCAGATGCAAGGCGAGGGCTTCAATTTGCTCGAAACCAGGCAAGTGTAAGTGGCGGTTGCTCATCAGGACATCCTGCATAACGGGGCTGATCTCCTCTCTGACTTGCTCTTCCTTCGTCAGGACGGTGTGGTGAGCGCTGACGGCATCCATGTGGCTAGATGCTGAAATTACAGGAGCATCATTGGCTGCATCGTCTTCAATGCCTTCGTCTTCGTCCTTCTTGTCAACCTCTTCGTCTTCAGCCTTATGCTCCTCTTCGGCTGTAGGAAAAACAGATCAAAGAAAGAAAAACAAACAATAAGGTATCATGGTAAAACATTAGAATTCAGGCATGAATCTACCTCTGCTTCATTTCAGTCCTCCTCTCCAACTGTAGGGAAATCAGATATAGAACATGACATGAAATCATCATCAAATCAATTAAAACGACATTGATGATATCAGGCTCAGAGTAAATACGGTTTTAAAACATGGGGCATTGGGGATGTGATACCAACACCAGTTTGAAAATTTCCACACATACACAACCTGTGAAAGTATTTTTCACCTTTTTCCATGTAATATGCCTTTGATGAAAAGGACTTTGAAGACTGGGAGAAAGCAAACTCGACGCCGAGTAGCTCCTCCTCTTCAGCTTCGGTAGGTGGCTGCATGGGGGCGACAAAGTTTGGCTAAAAGAGATGATCCTTGCCAAACAGGATCTCAGCGTGGTCATTCATGCACTGTATTTGGCGTGGGACGGTGGTTGTTGTCGTTTTGCCCTTTTTCTCCGCCACTTTTAGCCTTTCCATCCTGCTATTCCACTGGACAGCAAAGGAAAGGAGGTAAACCTGCAAAATAAAGAAAAAACAAAAAACAAATATTGCTTAGAATGTAGATCACTTATAATGTTACTTATAATGTAAATGTATTGCTAGAGTATACACAGAAAAGAAAGTATCATACAAAAACAATCGTCAAAGGTTGATGTGATAAAGTTTTTACAAAAAAGGGATTAGCTCAGGCACTCAGCTTAAAATTATTGATACTGATTTGAGTGTTGGTAAGTTTTAGGATGTAATTATGCTTAAATATTCATCTGAAAGGGCCTGATGCCGCAACGATGTGATGGGACGGCATGGAGCAGGTGAGAGTGGAGACCCTCACGCGCGGTGTTACTGGCCCCACTCGTTCAGTATGCTGGTGAGGTACTGCATGGTACCCTGACCGTCACCATGTATTTGTTTCAGAATCTCCACAGCAAACAAAAGGAAAACAAATTAGAAAAATTAATTAATCTAATGACAAAGATGTATTACAATCATCATGCAAGTATAACATTGCTTTTAAAGATAAACTTGAGTACTGGTAATGCGATTGCGTTGTGAAAGAAAAGGTGTCGAATGGATCAGAAAAGTTGATGATAGAGCATGTAAGTAATGGTGTGTAATGCAAGGTTCTAGACTCATCAAAATCATCATAAATTTGGCAGAGTCTTGGTAAAGTAACAATCACTTACACAGATAGACGTATATGGGACAACACACATGGTGTCGGGGCTAGTACTACCCTGATTTCCTTATCTTTCTATGCTCATTTCTATGTCACTATACTATATTCCAAATATGAGCTCAAAATATTACCTCTATAAAGAGATATTGCAAGTTTAAATACACTCTCAATCAACATAAATGCGACTTGTGATTAAACTACTCGACCCCAAGTCCGACTTGGGTTCCATGTACTCTACCGAAATACTGGTTAAAATGTTTTTTTTGGTTGATTTGAAATATTCTAGTGGTACATGAATTATTCTTTAAGGTGATTGCTACATTTTATAAAAAGAAGTAAGATCAAGATCCATGTGTTTTAAGACTAAGGCCCCCCCCCCCCCCCCCCCCCCCGCAAAAAAAAAAATCATTTGGTTGTTCTCAACCCCCCGCTCGTCATTTTCGGGCTGCTCGATTTGCCAATTTCAGTGTTTTAAAACTCACAAACCGGCACGTTGCCACTAACAATGTATACAGACATATAAACTGGCACATTGCCATTTTCAATGTAAAGAGACTTATCAACAGAAACGTTGCCAATTTCAGTGCTTAAATACTTAGGAAAAGGCACGTTGCCATTTACAATGTATGAAGACATATCAACCGGCACGTTGCCAATTTTCAATGTAAAGAGACATAACAACCGGCATGTTGCCGTTTTCAATGTAAAGAGACATAACAACCGGCATGTTGCCGTTTTCAATGTAAAGAGACATAACAACCGGCATGTTCCCGTTTTCAATGTAAAGAGACATATCAACAGCAGCTTGCTATTTTCAATGTATGAAGACATGTCAATTGGCGCGTTGGCAATTTTTAATGCAAAAGACATATCAACCGGCATGTTGCCATTTTCAATGCAAAGAGAAATAACAACCAACATGTTACCATTTTTAATGTACAGAGACATATCAACAGCCACGTTGCCATTTTTCAATGTATAAAGACATCTCAACTTGCACGTTGCCATGGCAGGTTGCCTATTTTCAATGTAAAGAGACATATTAACTGGCACATTGCCAATTTCAGTGTTTTAAGGCTAATGAACCAGCATGTTGCCATAAACAATGTATATAAACATATAAAAAGGCACATTGACATTTTCAATGTATAAAGACATCTCAACCGGCACGTTGCCATTACCAATGTAGGAAGACATATCGAACAGCACCTTGCCAATTTCAGTGTTTTAAAACTCATAAACCGGCACGTTGCCACTTTAAGGCTAATAAATACTTAGGAAAAGGCACGTTGCCATTAACAACGTACGAAGACATATCAACCGGCACGTTGCCAATTTTCAATGTAAAGAGACATAACAACCGGCATGTTGCCGTTTTCAACGTAAAGGGCCATATTAACCGGCACATTGCCAATTTCAGTGTTTTAAGGCTTATGAACCAGCATGTTGCCATTAACAATGTACACAAACATATAAAAAGGCACATTGACATTTTCAATGTATAAAGACATCTCAACCGGCACGTTGCCATTACCAATGTAGGAAGACATATCAACCGGCACCTTGCCATTTTCAATGTATGAAGTCATATCAACTTGCACGTTGCCAATTTCAAATGCAAAAGACATATCGAACAGCACCTTGCCAATTTCAGTGTTTTAAAACTCATAAACCGGCACGTTGCCGCTTACAATGTATACAGACATATAAACCGGCACATTGCAAATTTCAACTAAAGAGACTTATCAACAGGCACGTTGCCAATTTCAGTGTTTAAATACTTAGGAAAAGGCACGTTGCCACTAACAATGTATACAGACATATCAACCGGCACATTGCCAATTTTCAATGTAAAGAGACATATTAACCGAGATATTGCCAATTTCAATGTATGAAGTCATATCAACTTGCACGTTGCCAATTTCAAATGCAAAAGACATATCGAACAGCACCTTGCCAATTTCAGTGTTTTAAAACTCACAAACCGGCATGTTGCCACTAACAATGTATACAGACATATAAACTGGCACATTGCCATTTTCAATGTAAAGAGACTTATCAACAGGCACGTTGCCAATTTCAGTGTTTAAATACTTACGAAAAGGCACGTTGCCATTAACAATGTACGAAGACATATCAACCGGCACGTTGCCAATTTTCAATGTAAAGAGACATAACAACCGGCATGTTGCCGTTTTCAACGTAAAGGGCCATATTAACCGGCACATTGCCAATTTCAGTGCTTTAAGGCTAATGAACCAGCATGTTACCATTAACAATGTATACAGACATATAAACGGCACATTGCCATTTTCAATGTAAAGAGACATAACAACCAGCATGTTGCCATTTTTCAATGTATAAAGACATATCAACCAGCACGTTGCCACTTTTCAATGTAAAGAGACATATTAACCGGCACATTGCCAATTTCAGTGTTTTAAGGCTTATGAACCAGCATGTTGCCATTAACAATGTACACAAACATATAAAAAGGCACATTGACATTTTCAATGTATAAAGACATCTCAACCGGCACGTTGCCATTACCAATGTAGGAAGACATATCAACCGGCACCTTGCCATTTTCAATGTATGAAGTCATATCAACTTGCACGTTGCCAATTTCAAATGCAAAAGACATATCGAACAGCACCTTGCCAATTTCAGTGTTTTAAAACTCATAAACCGGCACGTTGCCACTAACAATGTATACAGACATATAAACCGGCACATTGCAATTTTCAACTAAAGAGACTTATCAACAGGCACGTTGCCAATTTCAGTGTTTAAATACTTAGGAAAAGGCACGTTGCCACTAACAATGTATACAGACATATCAACCGGCACATTGCCAATTTTCAATGTAAAGAGACATATTAACCGAGATATTGCCAATTTCAATGTATGAAGTCATATCAACTTGCACGTTGCCAATTTCAAATGCAAAAGACATATCGAACAGCACCTTGCCAATTTCAGTGTTTTAAAACTCACAAACAGGCACGTTGCCACTAACAATGTATACAGACATATAAACTGGCACATTGCCATTTTCAATGTAAAGAGACTTATCAACAGGCACGTTGCCAATTTCAGTGTTCAAATACTTAGGAAAAGGCACGTTGCCATTAATAATGTACGAAGACATATCAACCAGCACGTTGCCAATTTTCAATGTAAAGAGACATAATCGGCATGTTGCCGTTTTCAATGTAAAGAGCCATATTAACCGGCACATTGCCAATTTCAGTGTTTTAAGGCTAAAGAACCAGCATGTTGCCATTAACAATGTATACAGACATATAAAAAGGCACATTGACATTTTCAATGTATAAAGACATCTCAACCGGCACGTTGCCATTACCAATGTAGGAAGACATATCAACCGGCACCTTGCCATTTTCAATGTAAAGAGACATAACAACCGGTATGTTGCCATTTTCAATGTAAAGAGACATATCAACAGCCATGTTGCTAATTTCAATGTGTAAAGACATTTCAATTGGCACATTGGCAATTTGTAATGCAAAAGACATATCAACCGGCACGTTGCCATTTTCAGTGTATGAAGACATATCAACCGACACCTGCCAATTTCAGAGTTTTAATACTAATGAAAAGGTCCGTTGCCACTAACAATGTATGAACACATTTTAACCGGCGCATTGTAAATTTTTAATTTAAAGGACATATTAACCAGCACGTTGCCTATTTTCAATGTAAAGAGACATATTAACCGGCACATTGCCAATTTCAGTGTTTTAAGGCTAAAGAACCAGCATGTTGCCATTAACAATGTATACAAACATATAAAAAGGCACATTGACATTTTCAATGTATAAAGACATCTCAACCGGCACGTTGCCATTACCAATGTAGGAAGACATATCAACCGGCACCTTGCCATTTTCAATGTATGAAGTCATATCAACTTGCACATTGCCAATTTCAAATGCAAAAGACATATCGAACAGCACCTTGCCAATTTCAGTGTTTTAAAACTCATAAACCGGCACGTTGACACTAACAATGTATACAGACATATAAACCGGCACATTGCCATTTTTAATGTAAAGAGACTGATCAACAGGCAAGTTGCCATTTTCAATGTATAAAGACATCTCAACCGGCACGTTGCCAATTTCAGTGTTTAAATACTTAGGAAAAAACACGTTGCCATTAACAATGTACGAAGACATAACAACCGACATGTTGCCGTTTTCAACGTAAAGAGACATAACAACCGGCATGTTGCCGTTTTCAACGTAAAGGGCCATATTAACCGGCACATTGCCAATTTCAGTGCTTTAAGGCTAATGAACCAGCATGTTGCCATTAACAATGTAT